GTTCGGATCCCTTTAATCAGCAGGGGCACCTGACACTATGAGAGTTTGTCGTAATCTGTGTATCCTAACATCATGCCTTAGTTTATGAGTAATATATGATACTAAAGGGCCTGCCATGTATCACTGGCAATCACGAGAAATGGTCTATATAGGAACATTGCCCTTACCGATGCTACAAAAATACAACTACTGTATTCTTGAGAGCTCCACAAAGTCGGAACTTGAGCGGTATGTCGGAGCCGATAAGTTTTGTGTGGCGTTGAGAGCCCTAAATGCGGTGGTAGCCCTATTTGCTAACGGGGCCGCTGTGTATGGCATCTACTCCGTACTCCGTACACCAAGACATCTGACAGAGACTTTGACCATACTGAACAAACTACAGGCTCAGCTGAAGAACTAAGCTACCCATGGGGTCCACAATCTTGCATCTAATCTCCAGGAACTTGCTATTTCCGCATTCTATATCTATGGTCCATCTACATATCCTCCGCTGAAAGTGCCCGAATTTAGGACGGCCCGTTGACCCATCGCGGCTGTTGCTCGTCGTCGTCCGACTTGATTACTACTACTATATGCGCTCAATTACATCTGTCATGACCGTGTTGCTATCAATTTCTCTGTCATATTTCTTCCCTCTGTCCTGCAATATGGCAAGGGCGTGATTAAGAGATTATTGCCTACATAGCGACATGCACCTACTCTCGAACCACTGCGCTATTTCCCAGAGGCCCGCACATCAACAATAATTTCCTCATATTTAGGAGAATTAACCCTTATTAGTACGATATCTCGACATGAGACGTGGCATCTGAGTCTGGAGGATGCCTGCAAGTCCTGCCAAATGAAAGCACTGGCCCAAGCGAAGGTGGACGGATATGACCTACATATATTGGTCTATAATGCGTACGTCCTCGGTTCTTGTGATGTGCATCCGGCCGGCTAGGTTGCGTCGAATTTCTGACTAATGGGAATGAACTGTTTTTTAGGCCTACTTGCGTTCATTGAATACTCAGCGCCCGTGGCGAAACTTTCTGAGTAACCTCCCGTATATCCATCGGTGTCTACCACTTCTCGACCACTCCGTCTGTATATCTGGAAAGGTAGCGCAGGTGTAGTGTAGCAGGTGTCTGGAGAAGGAGCCGGGATCAGACCTTCTACCTGGACTAATCGGAGCATGCACCAGGGGAACAAAGACGGTCGGGATGAGGTATGCTGAGGCTTTCTTCCTCGCTCGCAGCCCAATAGGGCTTACAGGAGACCACCGCCACTACTCCGCTGCAAGGAAAGTTCGGCTCTATCGCGCACGTCAGTTGCCTGGACAGACGCCACGAAAGGTAGTACGTGATATTGATACAGAGAGTTGACTTCAATAGTCAGCTGATGATACTGAGCGTTGGTACTGGAAGGTCTAAGCGAAGTATCTTGTTAGCAGGTCTAAGTACCTCAGCATCACAAAAATAGTGCCACCTACCCAAGCATGCCACCGCCTGTTGGGAATCAGAAAAGTTGAAAAGCATAGTCAGCGGAGAGAGCCTGGTGGAGGAAAGCCTCTGGCCCAGTCCAACGACTTTCCATCGTATACTCCGTAGTGATTATGCCAGAAGTTATGGTCCCCGCGTTTCCTAGCTCGATGTATCTTTCAATGCTGTCTTGGCTTATAGATCAGGCTTTCCTAATCGCCGTAGCTTTTCTCAGATACCCAAAGATAGGGCTAGTAAGTTTAGCACTGTAGCATGGAATGACAGCCTCAGTTCTTAGATCTGCTAGCTCTCCTCGGGAGGTGTCCGCTGGCGAGTCAAGTTGTACGCGTACGAAGATGATTACTACGAGTCAATGACATCTCCCCGGTCCCTATACCGTTTTTTTTTTCAGGCCACCAATGGCTTTGCCGATCAAAATTTGGGTGGGCCGCGGATAGCTCACGGCAGGCCCAAGCCTATGTGGCGGACAGAGCGAGTACCACCGCAAAGAAACAGCTTGCTCCGCATGAAAACTAACACCAGTCAAGGTCACTTCGGTATTCAATGGACGATAATACTGTAGAACTTTGGTTGATCCAGCTTTCCACGCTTTTCGCCACGTCCTGCTCTCGCACTTTTCACGGTCGAAGGGCTCCACAGGGTGATTTAACCGTTTGATATGTGATTGGGTCTTGTGTTTGTACTTCAGCCAGCCACAACAGCAAAGGCGCTGCTGCTTTCTGTGTGCACCTCAGCCAGCCACAACCACGAAGGGGGGCATTTCTCAATGATGGAAATTCTAACTTAATATGGTTTCTCCGCGGAGATCTCTCCTTTTTCAGTTCGCCAAAGATTGGGGCAGTCCGTCTGTATGACGAATTAGGGTTGTTTAATTAGTGGGCTCTTTTCTCATCCGTGTTCATCCGGACCGGGTATTCGAAGCCCTGCGTCCTACAATATTGATTCCCGCACAACGTCCCCCCTTTCAGGCTCTTCAGTTCACGTCATTGTTTTGGGAAAGTTGAGCGGATTCACTTTTACCAGGGCAGCCAGAAGACTTTGAATATATGGCCACGCAGACGTTCACCTCATTCTTTCTATTTGCATATTCGGTGTTTGGCTTAAAAGCGGGCCGGCAGATATGTCAGCCACGGATATATTGCACATAAACAGTGCTTGGTATGACTTATTAATCGAATTCCTCAACCCTATACGTGGTTAGCCCAATACCAGTAATTTACAGTGTATAGGCGTACTCATCGAAGGAAACCATAGCAAAGGACATGCTACCTGACTGGGTCGCGCGAATAGAGCGTGTATAACACGCGATTAGAGATATGGTAATAAGGGACTCTTAAGCATGTATGGAGTGGAGTATAAGGTCATGTCAAAACCTAGAATAGCCAGCACAATCTCGCAACGCATGGTGGGAAATTTATACAAACTGCTTGTGTGACGGTCTAAATACTCCGGGCGAATTTTCAGCTACGAGAAAAAGGTCGTCATGTTTTTTAAGATAGGTCGAAAAGTATCAGGTTTGGACCCACATTCGGAGATTTTTTCAGTAGCGTCTAACCCGTGTGAGCAACCGTATTCTACTTTTAGATTGGCCAACACTCGTATGTGGCGTTCTTAGTCACTCATGACTCGCCGGCTTCGGTGTTTGGGCTCTGCAGAAGTCAAGCAACTACTTCCATCGATTGTGGTTGGTTATATTCTGTTGGAAAACCAGAAAGTACCAGTAATACTAGTGATTCTGATGGGTGACCAAGAAGGCTACGTATCCACACTGTCATTACTCTCGAATCATGATGATCGACGTTGAGCCAGCTCGATATCCAGAGTACGTGATCCCTTGACCAGACAATATGAACCGGCAGGAGACTGGAGATAAATGGCGGTAAGCATATCCTAGCCCCTTCCACTACTAAGCACTGTTGGTGGGATTTCAAGGAGTTCGGTCACTTATGGAGACGCTGTTGTAGAGACTTCATTTAATCATGTGAATGCCTATCTCTGTAAGTTATTGAATCCGTTGTTGGTAGTTCCTGGCGTAATCATGCCAAGGGGGAAATTCCTCGGCCTATACTATATCCCCCAAGCCGTCTTTTGTTTCTGTCATATCCTCGGGGAGCGGCTACGCTGGCCAATGTATTACGCGCGTATAAGTTGAGAGAAGCGCCCAGCATCACAGGCTCTGCTATTAAAAATCCGGCTACCCTATGTAGTATTTAATAGAATCATTATCCTTACCGTTCTCAAACTTCCACAAATACGATAAGCGGTTAGCGGGATGAGTGAAATATCTGCGGTCTGAATTAAGCTATCGGCAAATGCGGTATTATATCTTTTTACGCACTTCAAGAACATTTTCCAAGTCGTCGTGAGTGTTATTATATTAAGCTCAGGTAGAATTGGGACGACTTCTAGCAGTGCCTCAATAACCTTAGATGACAGCACTCGCCAGTAACAGCCGTTGTACCATGCCCTGCGCTTGTTAAATTGATTGGCCCTTACTTGATGTGGCAAAGGCCACTCACTCACTGTATCCTCATGTATTCCTTTGGATGGAGGAGCGTACCGAGTGATACCATGATCTTGCTTTGTCCATGGTTGTCTCAGCATTTTGTATTATGTCTTCTACGTAGCCTTCTCAGCTAATATTTGCCAGCAGAAAAGAAGCCCGATGATGGAGCAGAGCCATAAGACATGAGGGAGACATCAATCATAATCACAGCAGCAAGCTTAGTGGTATGAGAGCAAGTAAGGGATATATTACTAACAGGGAGAAGCAGCGGGATTTTCGGACAACATCCCGTGCCACGTTGATACATTATCTGCTGTACGGAGTATCCTTGGACAGACGAATCCCTTCCTTTCCTTTTTTCCCCTTGATCTGGGTGCAACAGGTGGGTCTTTGCTGCTCTGGCGTTAGCTGGTTGTATGTACCAATGCATTACATTCCAAGATAACATGAGTTTTCCGTCTGCATCTGCCAGAGATGTGGTTTTCCCTCACACTCGCCTGGGTTTGATGACACCCTCCAATTCTAATAACTCTCCTTCTTTACTTAGACCAACTCCATGCTCAACCATGTTCGCATTTGACATATACTAACACCCCATGCTCGATCAAAAATAGGCGAACCAAACCAATGGCTGTCATGACTGCGATGTCCCGAGTCTATCTTCTCCGCCCGCGCCCTCTCGCTTTGCCGACCACCATCACCAAGTGATCCCTTGCCATCCCACCTCTCGAGCCAACACAGGCATGTTCAATCGCCCCATCTGCGCGATTGGGATGGGCCGAGATCAGTGGCAGCTTTTCGCCATCAATGGGCTCTGCTGGTCAAACGATAATTTAGTGCGACCGTCGCCTTACCGTTCCTGTTCCTAACCCCTGAAAATCCAGCATCACACAACCACTTTTGCTCAGCCACACCCACGGCATGTGGCCGGTAGCCAGTCGACCACCCTGAGTTGGGTGGTCGTCTCTTGAGGTCCAAGTGGGCTTTGAGTCTTACCATTACTTGTCTTCAGCATGACAGCGGCGGTGGCAGCTGTTCAAACTGAGGCGGTCGGTATGTTCTCACTCTTGAAGTTGGTAGGTTCGAGGGACAAAACATTAGTGGATATGCCTATGCAGAAGATCTTGCGAACTTGCTTATCCGGTGTGTCATCATCTTGATTGAGCTCCGTGCTGGACTCCTACCAGAGCCCCTGGGCTGTATAATCTGCGTAGTGGTTTTGCCGCGGCTGTGGTGTCTCGTTGTATGGACACTGGCGAGAGGAAATCACGCCTTCGTCGAAGGTTTCCTGGATACTCAATACTGTGCACTGGTAGCCTCGTTGATATCGGTAGATTGGCTCCCCTTGTATTATAAGGGGTCCCCTTCTTGATTGTTAACATCAGCGAAGGATCAACGAACCTTATCGGGACGGTCCGCGATGTCGACACTGGGAGACAGTTCGATAGAATCCCCAATAACCACCCTGAGAAAGCATGCGCGGGTTTGTAAGCTACATTTGTACTTCTCAAGGCCTGGAAACCAAGGCCTGCAGTGTCTACATTTATTCTTCTTTTCCCTTCCCGATAATAACAGCCGATGCTAAAAGGAGAATAAAAGAATTTGGATTACATAAAAAAACAGCGAGTCATCGAGAGTCGTAGGCAAGACTTTCCATGAGTTCTCTAGTCCGACACCTTGCATACACTATTGGCTCTACCAAGAAAGAAGCAGTTCCCTCATTAGATCGAACCAAAAATTACACCTTGCCCAAGGCCCCGGTTTTTCATTATTAGGTTTGAGCGGGCGTCCCACACAGCGATAAAAGAATAGATAAATGGATCAAGACTTGAGACACACCCCAAAATCGAGAATACAAAAACATATGCATGAGTGACTTAAAATGACAATGGTTTGCTCACCCAGCCTGCTTTAGTGCAGGTGCTTATGCCGGATGAGATGCGTGGCTAACATTCTTACCTAGAAGCCCACCACCTCGCTTCGGCCAAATGCAGATATCTCTTTGGTATTTGATCGAGTACGTCTAAAACGTTCGCGGTTTGCTTTGTGACATTATGCTGATTCCTACAGATCACGGAACTGAGCCAATACGCCACAGTGCTGACTGGAAAGCTATTTGCCTCTATATATCAGAATGACCCTGGTCGCCTATCCCCTCTGGGTGATATTGATGACATGATTCGACTGCAGTTCATGCTATCGGAAGAGATCTCGCGGCTATATACTATACTCCACCATCAGGGGCAGTCTTCAACGCCCGTCTTATGAACATACATGATTTGTTGGACACAGCTTTCATTCAAACGCTGGATTTTGTGCGATCACGAAAACCGGACACGTCGACATAACACTCTAACTGGAAGATCTGTGTTGTTGGCATGAATACTGTTAGCACGCACAATTGTATTCTCTGGTTTGCTGGTACATTAGAGATTTATCTATGTGGGTCTCAAAGTTCCCCCTATCGTACCCCAAGTGCATCTTCTGACCAGAGTTGGTGGTAAAATTGCTGCATCGATTATGCGACATTCCGTTTCCCCTTTAGGCCACATGATACCCTGTAAGCTATTGGCAAATGTTCTCCATGTAGCAGTAAGATTGGTTAACGCAGAATGGATGACAACAGTCTATCTGATATGCAGAGAGGAGAAGGATTGAAGACGGCTCCATTGCGTAAAGAGGCAGACACTGTGGGGTTTCAGAAGGCCTTCGGTGGCTGTACGGCCGACTAGCCGACGCATTGAAGTGGATTCCAGTACTGGAACCAGCCGTTTACTGGATCAGTTTGACACTGTCATTGGCTGGCGGTCGTATTCCTCTAATCTCTTTCCCGAATGCTCCGCTCTATCTTACAGTTTACCCTGCGGCCGAAAATATATCCATCAACGAAAGACCGCCGATTCAGACCTCCATGCAACTAGTAACAGACCATGATTCAGGACCCTTATCCAGCCAGGCTTCAGATCGCTTTAGCCTATAATATCTTAAGCTACTGTTCCATCGATGGTAAAACGGTGTGTATTACACCGGTGACGAACAGACTGCGTGAAGTGGATACTACCGAAAAATGAGAGCACCGCTCACCTAGACAAAGTTAGGACCTAGGGCACAGAATATGATAGTTGTTTAATGTAGTGGCGCCTGGCTAAGCCCAGAACTTCAACATATAAAGTTTTTTGTGGATTGAGTTTGGCATAATGCATCTGCGGTCGCTGCGGCAGCATGTACTCCGTTAAGTTACATCGAAATATAACTTCCTTCAAAGGTATTCCCGAGGTGATGGAAATTTGGACAACCCTAGGCAACGTTAGAAGAATATGCAGTGACCTCGTATTGCCACGTGGCCGCTTGCTCGGCCATTGGGAGAGAAAAAAAAAAAAAAGAAAAAAAGAGGAAAAAAGAGAGAGATACTTTTGTGGCGAATGACTATGGGGGAGGAAAGTCTCAACAAGCATGGGTCCGATCGAGGCTGATTGATCGGCAAGTGCCGCATGGAGGGCCCCGTTGGGACTTGTTCCACCTAGACTTGTCTGCTATACATAGCAATTTCGGCTCCTTCCTATAATGGTTCGATTCACTGCAGGTACCGAATATGGTGTTGGTTAATCCAGCTAGTTAAGATATCGGAGATCCCCGGGTGTTCCTTTATGCGTTCTGTTTGATGTCGCGTGTCCCATGTTATATGTTCTAAAGGCTTTGACTGAGTAGCAATGAAGCCAGGTATATCCTATAGATTCGTAATGCTGTTGTCCCCTGTTTGTAAGTTTGAACAACGCGCCGATCTTCACGACCCAATCTCCTTATCCCGTCAAACCTTTTTGACAGTTCTTTTTCTCGGGGGAACCTGCGTTTCGATAACAGCGCGGCGGCAACCATCTACGATCTTCCTACCAACAACTTTCAACCCCACGTCATATAACACACAACCTAGATAGTGAATGTACACCCGGGTATCCAGAATGTGCACAGCACTACAGATCGCCTGTATCTGCCTCCCAGATCGAGGATCACGCCCGTACCCACCGGGAACGTCATTCTTATAGCGGTCAAGCCGCCAAGAACCTGCTTAATATGAGTTTTACAGGGTACCCCTATGGTCATCACGCCTCCTTTTAATTTATATATGTGTATGTGCAATACCGTAGATTATTAATTAGACTGCTTTTGCGGTGTTTAGGTATTCAAGCCGAAGTGAACGCGGAGTTGAGGACTCGAAAAAGGGGGCAATTCCCACGCCCAGGACTATCCGCGAGAAACTGCTGAAATTGGAGCAGATCAAGCACTGACCTTCATGCAGATAACTAGTAGGAAGAGGCAAAGGGGAAAGTCAGATGCGGGCCATGGGATGCAGTTAAGATCAAGGGAGCCTGTTCGATGATACCACTGTGGGCGGGTGGTTGGCAGCGGCAAGAATCCTGGCGACTTTTCATGTTGGATACCACCCATGAAATTGCCACCAAGAAGGGGCTGCAGAAGGCTTTGTCAAATTACATAGCAATCTAATGTCTGGGGTTGCACGTAGGCTATACATTCACACCCTTCTCTTAAATGTGCCTGAAGCGGTGACTGAAGAACCATTGACATATATGTATTCACCATTTATATCATCCTCTTAGTTGTTGATACTATTATGACGGTATATCCTGACAGGCTCGCTCTTGTGTTATAATTTGCATGGATTTAAACTCAGATTATTCTTCCTCTTCTGAGAGCCTAAAAACGAGGAAGGCACGACCGATCTTCTCCTGTCTTTCGTGTTATAGGCGTAGAGTGAAGGTGAGTTTTGTACCTACCTACGTGCCCTCTTCTTTCAGTTGGATGGCTATCAGGATTCCGCACAGTACACGTAAAAGGGGGGGAAGGCTAATTGGCATACTGCTACAGTGTGATCATCTGATGCCCTGTACACCGTGCTGTCTACGGGGCACACCTACAAAATGCGAATTTACAGAAGAAGGTCGCAATGCGTACATGCTGCAGTCAGAATCGATCAAAAATATAACAGAGGAATGCACATACTTGGAAAGTCGGCTGGCAGAACTGGAAAGGTCGGTTCCCACCTCACAACAATCTCAGAAGGGGTCTTGTAAGTTACTCGCCCTGTTAGGTTAAGCGCGACTCTCCCTTCCTCGCGCAAAGCAGTGCGTCGCCCAGCACAGAGAAAAATAAACCACCCCACTTCGAACGCACATTAGGTTTGATACTCTAACATTGACCTTGTTATACAGGAGGTGTTTTATCTCACCAGCATATTCTATTGCCCTTGCAATAGATACCGAATGGCTTCTTCGTCAAGTTTAGAATCTGATTCTGGGACATTAGATATCGGATGTTAGGGAGTGGGAAATAGGGTGTGAATGCTTTGTCATTTGTGGACTCGGGGTTATTTATCCAAGCTGTATATGCACATATAATTTTGAATGCCATGCCATATGGTAGGCTTATATATATAGGAAATACACTACCCGACTTCGGGGAAAAAAAAAAGAAAAAAAAAAAAAAAAAAAAAACAAGCTTGCCTTGTGGAGATGACTCTTCAGCTATACGTTGATACGACATTTAGCAATAGGCAAATTTACATAGCCGAGGCACGATTTCCCTAGCATCCACCGAATGTATACCAAGTACAAATTGGTCGTTGCTATAGCACCCAAGAAAGGAAAGGTAAGTCAGGTATATATCCTTGCTTGTCTTCTAGCTTCCTGGTGGCTGAGCTGAATCTATGTCAACCATTTCATCTTTCCGCCGCTCTTGTTATTCTGCTCTTTCTGTCCATCACAAGTTTATAACCCGACGATGGCTGCATAGCAAGTTTGCCAGCGGTGTCTGCGTCTCATACAATTTCCTAGATAATCCCGCTACGTTTATCTAGGAGGGGCATTAAGCGAGGGCGTATGATCTCCCATCTCCTCGGCCTCGCTGTGCCCTCGCGTTGAAATTTGAATTCCGGGACCAGAATTAAATTCTTCTGACTGCCCCACCGGGTGTGGTATTAGCTTCCGAAGTCACAAAACCAAGAAACGCCTTTTCGACCTTGAGAGTACCGTCGTCGGCATGGTATGCTGGGAGATGCAATGATGTATTACCTCTGTATCTCTGACTGGTGTTGGACTTTCAGTTTAGGTTTGGTGCCCCGTGCATTCAAAGCCTCTGCGTTGTCGACTTTCTCTGATGCCGTCGGTTCACGTGGGCCACCTTGTGTATCTGTCACGGCCTTACGCATATCTAGGCCTATCAGCATCGATCCCACTATGGCTCGACTGCTTAGCCCCGCTTAGACGTTATCCCTTCCGTTACTCGGGTGCAGGTAACCCAAGGTGCTTGTACAATGTAGACAGATGGTCTATGGGGGTTGTGTCCTGTCACCAGTCTAGCATGTTAGCCTCTAGTGAACCGCAGTTCTTGGTGGTGACCCGCTGGCATTTTTGGATCGGCGGGGGTAGGTTCAGTCAATCATGGCCGAAAATTATGATGGTCGTACAGCAATTTCACTCTCACTGGGCCCGTCGCTAACGCTTGTCATAAATACCCTAGGCCGAACCTAAAAAGAATATCAGACCCTCGAAGATGAGACTACCATCGACCAAGTAGACTCTCGAATCACCAAAGAGACACATTGAGTTCCTAGTTGGCGAACTGACCTGATCGTTGCTCTCTACTGCTCTATCTCTTTATGTTTGATACGAACCCCTCTCGTTCTTGACCACGACCGTTAGCCCTTAACAATCCAGTGACTAGTAGACATTATCATGGTTGATAGAAGTGAGTATCGTCTTTCGTCACCGGTTCGGGATGTTCTAGTCGTCGGTAGAATATTGACACTGTACAAGTGAACCCGGCGCGTGCCTTGCGGGTAGCCGAGATCATCAACGACTACCGAACCCTCCTTGTGCATATCGCTCGGCACAATGTGCAGATTCCAACGGAGGGTGGCCACAAAGAAACGTACAAAGAGATTAGAGAAGGCCTGGCTGCTGCACAGGCACTGTTAGCAGCCAACTACGACCCCAGCGTGGAGTCTACCCCGTCCAACACGGAGACGGAAAAGGCCGAACTGAAGAGGTACAGACAATAGGGCGTATGTGAATTAGATTGGTGTATCCTGACTATATCCAGGACCATCCTCGACGCAAGTGCCCGTCGATTTCAAGCGCACCGCATCTACCTCCGGGTGGCAGTTGCCACAAGATGCGCCCTCGCCCGGCAAAATATCCTACGGGAAGGACGGCCAGCGATAGAGCAGACTGCTTCCCTTGACGCCGTGGAAA